TTATGGATGAAAATTTATGTTCATATGTATGATATATATCTAAATAACTTGTTTCATTTGGCACTTCACATACTCATGAACAATTCTAGTATACTTATGAATAGATTAAATTATTTGATTAATGAAATATTGTTCTCACCCCCATGGTTATATTTTTAGGTGAAGGCTTCGATAAAGGCAAAAGGAAGGAGGATACTACTAAGAAATGAGTAGCTTTCATTTGTATAGCTCTATTCTTTTAGTATTTTGTGTAACTAACTATATATATTATGCCAACTTTGGACATGCATTATTATTGTGGTCACTTGCATGAAATGAAGATGCTTTGGTGTATTTCAACCTAGGTTATTATAATTATGATGGAAATTATTGTAAGAGGCTGAAGTACTAGTTCAAGTGTCATTATGATGTTAGATGTTTGATTGGATTGGCCCAAGATTAGCTATGTTGAATTATACTATTGAACCTTGGTTAATGCTAAATCGAGGTCTTAATGGCCAATATATGTTTTGAGATATATGTTCACAAGTTTGACTGCTTTATTAAGTATAATATGGTACGTATGAGTTGATTTAAGTGGTCCTAGATGTATTGGCATTTAGTTTGGAGTTTTAGATACCCTTAGGCAAGTTTTAAAAGAAAAGAGTGTCTTTTTGCACCCCGAGTGTCCAACTTTTAATTAGTATAGTATTTTGTTGTGAAACTAATGCCAATATTTAGGCAGCTTTATTAGTTACATGTGAAAACTTAAATCGCTTGAAAAGGACATCAGTGGCGAAACAAGTACACTCAAGAATTTGGTCCCGAAGTCCGATCATAACAATAAATTGATGATATGATAGCAAAGGTGCGTTATGGTGTCTAGTACAATGAGGGGAGTTTCCCCTCTGTGCCATCCATTACAAATTAGAACTTGTCCATTTTTCCATCTTTTGATGGACAAATGTGATGTTTTCTCTTGTTATGCTTTCGTAATTGCATTATTGATGTTTTAAACCATCGTCTAAGCTCAAATGCTTTCTAAAAAAGGTTTTCTTGGGATCCCAACTTTTAATATCTTTGAATTTTAAACCATTGTCTATTAAGATGACCTAATATAAGGATTTGCTTAATCACGGTTATCATAATAGTGGTTATGCTATGTTTTGATAATACCAAAGCAAACATTACAAAGACTCCTTAACCATGGCCAACTATACATTGACACACTAGCCATGATAGACGTTACTTCTACCACAGCCAACCCCACATTGATGCATATATCACGGCTATTAACTCTCACGCCATAGCAAAAAAGTCACAGCTTATAGCACAAGGCCTTCTCACTGTGACCAACACAAACATACATATTTGTCATAGCTAACCATGTTCGCCATGGAAAGCTCCACACTATCAATGCAGTAATGTAATAGCAAGAATAACATTTCCAAATAAATATAATTAATTTAAACTCATGCATAAAAACTACTCTAAAATCAATATACTAGATTATGATAAGAAGTAAGGTCGTCAATCAAGTCAATACACTTACATGGATGGTCTTTCCCGAGACACAAATCCTAAATGTTAAATGCCTAAGTTAAATGCGAGGCTTATCCAATTGAAATATGATCAAAACATGTATAAATCCTTAATGTTAGTAGTATTAAGTATTCAATTACACAACTAAATACCTAGGGCTTAACTTGTGAAGTTAAGCGTCTGTAGTCTTCATTGCTTCCCTTATTAGCCTTACACTTCATGTTTCTTGAGAAAAAGTTAACAATTAAGAGTGAGATTATACAACCTTAGTGATCAAGAAATCTAATTAAGGCATATTAAAGTGTGATAGTTGCATACTTATAGGAAGTTCATAATATATAACTTAACCCATCACATACTCATAGATATTAATATGTTAGTGCTTTATGATAAATGCAACCATCTTATGTGCCTTCTTATATCATCTGATCGAACCCATAAGCTAAAAACTCATATAGAACTAACCCATGTGATTAGATTAGCACCGCTTTTCAATTATGAGGTATCACATGGCCAAAGGATCCCACACTCATTCTCAGATCATGGGTTCTTCTTATTCAAATTTTAAGGTGTCATAAGTGCCTAACCTATACCGTCTAGTCCAAGATTAGTGATATTAAGCATCATGCCGAACCCACACCACAACTGTAAGTTATTAACAGTAATAAGTCACTAAAAAAAAAAACATGCCAACTATTGTGCATAGATACAATAAAGGCTATACCATGTGAATTTTACTAGTGTAGCCTTCTACCCATCTAGGTTAAACTCTCACCCATCATACTCATGCCAATTCAACTCAACACATGCAAATTCATACTCATGCATATCCTAATATTTCAACATATTCCTAATCAGCCACACTTGCATACTTATTACAACTCATCAACAACAACTTAGTTATAACTTCTATTAGCATAAACTTTATTACCATAATCATTGATACACTTATATATTTTTATCTAGCCTCTGCAACCTCTAATCAGCGTAATAATCTCCCTTCAAGTATAGGGTTTTTGGATTGTAACATCTCATTACCAAAATTATCATCTAAATTACCTAAACAACACTTATTTAATCTCAAATAACTCAAATAATTCGAACCCAATGGTTGGGTATCTCCAAAAGTGAACACACCACATTGCCTATTACTTGAACTATCTTAAAGAGAAGATTAAAAGGTGGGAGATGGATTATAAGTGTTATCTTGAGTTCGAAACTCCAAAACTCTAGCAATGCTCTTAAAAAATCACCCAAAACCTCTCACAAAATCAAATATGGCATTCTAGTGCACGAAAGAATGTTTAAATATTAAAAAACACTATTCACCATGGCTAAAAGTGCCACTGGCCACAGCCAACAATATCACTTCACTGATTCAACTTAGAAAATTCATCATCAATTCCACACATCTTTGAAAATTGCAAACTAAAACTCTATAAAATGCTTGAAATGTCTATTTTCTAATCAAAGAAGAATTACTCAAAAATATTACCATTTGTCCTTTGAAAATCTTTGATTAAAAGAACAACTCATTCTTACTTCTTACAAGCCCTCATTGATTATGAGTTGTTTTTCAGTGTATTTAAATACTCTTAAATTCTCTTAAAATATTAGTAACCTAATTAGATTGAAGAGTAAGAATTTGGGGAAGTGCTTGGCATGCCTGTTTTGAGGTTGGTAGATAAGGGATTGGCTAAACTTTTGCTCCTATTTTGTTGTTTTTGAGCGCTTTTTGCTTTTAAATTGTTTTTTCCTTTTCGGGTAGGTTGTATCTATAGGTTTTGAGTCTCTTCTTTGTCAGCTTCAACTATTAGTGTGTGTTTTAACTTCTTTTGGTGATTAATAAAATCTCTTTACTCCCAAGAATTAAAAAGAAAAAAAACACACACACACACACACTCCATGTTTAGTTCTTAAGTTCAAGCTAAATGGTGGAGAATGGAAAATGAATATCAAGTGTCCATCAATGTAGATGGATGGACAAGCTCCTTTTTTTTTTTTTTTTCAATATGACTGACACGTCAAATTCAATGGGAAATAACTTTTTTTAAAGATATTTTCTATACCATTGTGTGTGTATTGTAGTCTATTTCCAACTCATTTTATCACTGGTAATCACTTCTATCTATATTCCCATCCAGTATCAAGCAATTTTTTTTCTTGCGCTTCCTTCATAGGAAATATCCAACAATTTCAAAGATAAATCTAGATATGAACTCCAAAACGAATTCAATAAATCTAAACCTTCAACCAATAATGTTGAACCAAAAACCTCAACGAGTCTCAATTTTTATGATCTAACTAATTAAACCGACAGTTGAACTAGTAATACAATAATGAAATAAAAAAAGATTAATGAACGAATAGGATCCTAAACTCTTGTTCAAAATCACCCTGAATCCAAAACTCTTAAAATATGTAAAATAAAATTTAAACTTTTAAATAAATAACAAAATAAATCTTGACTGCTAACTTTTTTAACACTGTTACTGTTCATACGAGAACAATAATATTTATAGTTAAATTTATAAGAAAATAAACCCTGAATAGTACTTACATTGACAATAACAGTATTAAAAAGTTAGCGATTAAGGTTTATTTTACTATGAATTTAAAAGTTGAAAGTTTATTTGCATATTTTGAAAGTTTAAAATCCAGGATGATTTTCATGCAAAAGTTCAAGATACTATTCACTCATTAATCCAATAATAAATAATACTAATGTATATGTATAAGAAATATAATATGCACACATATATATATATATAAGAAGTAAATTTATGTCAAATCATTAATAGAATAACACATCATAACCATAACATCTTTTTAAATTTGATATAATAATATTATAATTTTATAAATAACACATCATTAATAGAATATGCATAAATATATATATATATTAATATTATAAATTATAATTTTCTAATTTATCACATATCACTGGACCTTGATTAAATTTGATATATATTCAAAAGTATATATATTTTCACCAATAACATCTTTTTTGGGGAGAAAAAAGTCTAATCATTTTATATATATGTGAAGAGTTCAAAAAGAAGTTGACTTTTAATAAAATTTAATTTTTGAGTTTCTATAATTAAAAAAAATGATATTGTTTAAAATCATCTAATTTTTTAAAAACTGTTTCAGTTCTCAATTTGAATATGCTTTCCAACTCGATAACAGCTAAACTCTAATTCATCCTGACTCAATCATAATAACAATTTTAATGCAAACCAAACTGTTAATAGTTTCGGTCGACAATCCAACCATCCTTTCTTTTGGGTTTTTAAAACAATGCTTTCAACTATGATTTAACCTCTCTTTGTGCATGCCGAATACTTTTAAAGGGGTTTTGGCAAATCGTCTGTTTCAACGAAAAGGGGCGTCTCACGTTCATGTCTCTGGCGAGAATCCATCAGAACGGTAGCCCCAAACCAAACATATCGATTATCCAAACGGGCAAGCAAGCCTAAAATAAGAACACAACCAATAACTGCTGAGAAAATGCATTCAAATTCAATTTGGTGCTCTAAACAGCAAAACAAAAGCTCAATATAACATATAAATCAAGTAAAATATAACTTATCAGAATAAGTCTCAAAGCCCCCTATCTAATTCTCAGCCAAAAATGGCCCCAAAAATAAAAATTAGGGTAAAGAAAACGTAACTCAGCGCTTCCCGCCACCTCCACCAAGTTTAGGACCTTTTGGGGCAGCGCCCTTGGGAACGTTTCCTTTGCCTTGTGCTTTTTGTGCCTTGGCCATCACCTCTGCCTTCTTTGCCTTCTTCTCATCTTTTGTTTTCTTGATCCTCTCCTTAATCTCACTGCATCGTACATTCGGATAATCAGATGATATATGGTAACATAACTCTGCTATCCAACATGAGATGCAATAAAAGAGTCTCAGAGAAGAGAGCCAGGAATACAGACCGGAGTGCAGCTTCTCTAGCAGCATCTCGAACCTCAGGTTTTTCAGTTCTTTTCTTCTGGATAACTTCCAGAGTTGCACCAACAATAGACCTAGAGTAAGGCTTTTTGGTGGCACGACGCCTTTTCTTCACAGCTTCTTGGGCAATGTCCTGCAGAGATCACATACATAAACAAGAATCATGCATTTGACCAATGAGAGATCACAGGCATTTCAAACAGTTCACTAGAATCTTGTTGATATGTGCTAATTCTAACTTCCCAGTGCAGCAAACATAAACCACAAGCCAAGGCTAATTTACAGAAAGTTTGTTTAAGCAGCGCCTTATAATGGATGGTATCAGTTAAGGTTGACTAAAACTATGGAAATTTTGATAGTAGCAATACCTTCTTGTGTTGCTTCCTGTACATGGCAGTCCAGGTGAGCTTCGAAGGTTTCAATCTGTTGTGGAAGTACCTCTTGCATTTTGAGTTGGCAAACAAGAAGACCTGATAAAAATATAAAACGAACCCATTTAGCGCTTAATAGATCATCATATGATATCCGTAAAAGGAAGGTTGATCCAATTAAAGTCACCTGAGAATCAGCTCGTACAAATCTAATGCCTTTTCCAGGGTAGATCTTGCCCCCACTGAATCGGCAGAGTTCAGTCCTGATATACGCATATCAAAAACCAGATTCCAGATTTGTCAAGAGGCAATTATTTGGGGAAAAAAAAATTAAAAAGAAGATTGTTTGTTTGTTGTTATGGTCCGAGAAAAATCAGACATGCTTGCAAAGAATTCCCAATTAGTCCAAGCCAAGGATGTCTCAAAAGCTAGCAACACAGGACTATTATTTTGTAACTATGTCGAATTAAGTTGTCACAGTATCAAGCCATTAGGTGTCTAATTTCAGCTTCAATAGGCCAATAATTTTGGTATAATGCAGGATAATCATATCAAACAAAATATTTTGGGGAACAGAGTATCCAGGAACCAGTACTTTCGAGGCATGAAAAGCAAATAATCCCGACAGAGCAATTCCTAATTATAAAATGGCACTAAAATCTCCGTCTAGAATCCCCGAAATCAGACAAGACTAGGAAAAGAAAAGAAACACATTCACTTTCATTCAATCTCATCGATACTTCATATGATTACAGAACCGTTAATTCTTAGATAAGAACATTACAAGTAGGTTTCGGAAAAGCAGGATGTTTATGCAGTAAAGAATAAAACCCATTGTTCCGCTATCGATAAAGGAACTGAGAAGCATGGATCTAAATGGGTTCTTCGGAAAGAGGCATCTCTTTTTTTTCAATAAAAGTTTCAGATTGATAGCCAAAAAATGTGTATTATGTATAGAGTATACACATACACCAGACGAGAGATTAAAGAAGAAACGAAAGAGAAAATATAACTTACTTCAGAACCATATCGGCTGCTGCAGCTGCTGCCTCGCTTCAAAATATCTGGTGTGAGAAACTTTAGAAGATGCGTGTTGCCGTAGGGTTCATAAGAAGCACACTTCAATTTTTTTATAAAATTACGAAATTAACATTGGGCTAACTGGGCTGGGTCAGTTAAAAAAGCAGGACAACGGGCATAGACGCTGTTGTTGAGAAGTTTTTACCCAAGAAAAGAAAGGAAGAGAAAGAATGGGTAGAAGATTTTCCCCCCCGCTCAAGGGGTACTCCCAGTATACTCTCAGTATTTTACATTTTTCTTTTTCTTTTTTCTTTTACCTGCTTCTTTTATTTTTAGTCTAATTTATCAATTATTAATTTTTAATATATGTGATAAGGAGGTAAAGGAAGCTCTTAAGAAAATGGTAAATGGTATAGCCAACGTACTTGATTGTATATCTATCGAAGCGTGAAAATGTTTAGATGAAGAAGGGGTGAGATGGTTAACTAAGTTATTTAATATGATCTTACAGTCCAAAAAAATGCCTGATGAGTGGAGGAGAAGTACAATAATTCCTATTTATAAAAATAAAGGAAATATTCAAAATTGTACTAACTATAGAGGAATTAAACTTATGAGCCACACAATGAAATTGTGGGAGAAAGTAATTGAGCACAGGTTGAGATTGGAGACAAGTATTTCTGAGAATCAGTTTGGTTTTATGCCAGGTAGATCAACTACAGAGGCGATTTATCTATTAAGGGGATTAATGAAAAAGTATCGTTGTAAAAATAAAGATTTACACATAATTTTTATTGATTTAGAAAAAGCTTATGACTGTATACCAAGAGAAGTGCTTTGGAAAGCGTTGGAAAAAAAGGGAGTACGGATTGCTTATATTAAAGCCATACAAGATATGTATGAGGGGGTAAAAACTAGTATAAGAACGCCTAGTGGTCAAACAAAGGATTTTCCTATAAAGATTGGACTACATGAGGGATCATCTCTGAGTCCTTATCTGTTCAACTTGATCTTAAATGTTTTGACGGAACATATTCAAGGGGAAATTCCCAAATGTATGCTCTTCGCAGATGATATAGTTCTTATAGCAGAGACAAGAGAAGAGGTTAATTGCAAACTTGAGTTATGGAAGAGGACATTGGAGTTGAAAGGTTTCCGTCTGAGTAGGAGTAAGACGGAATATTTATATTGTAAATTTGGTAAGAGACTATTGGACAATAATTTGGAAGTGAAATTGGGAGATCAAATTATACCTCAATTGGAAAAGTTTAGATATTTGGGAGCCATTATTCAAAATGATGGCGAAATCAGTGGAGATATTTCACATAGGATTCAAGTTGGGTGGTTTAATTGGAGAAAAGCTAAAGGAGTTATTTATGACCGTAAGATACCTAATAAACTTAAAGGAAAGTTTTATCGCACTACTATCAGACCGGCAATGTTATATAGTAGTGAATGCTGAGCTCTAACGGGACAGCAAGAGCATAAAGTTGGAGTAGCAGAGATAAGAATGTTACGATGGATGTGCGGACATACACGTAAAGATAAAATTTGAAATGAGCACGTACGCGAAAAAGTGAGGGTAGTACCTATTGAGGAAAAAATGGTAGAAAATCAGTTGAGATGGTTTGGGCATGTACAAAGAAGACCAAGGGAGGCACCAATGAGAAGAGTGGAACATATAACTTTGAGTCCGATTAAAAGGGGTAGAGGAAGGCCTAAGAGAACACTCTCAGAAGTTGTTGAACGCGATCTCTTAATTAATAATATTCCTAAAAGTTTGATGAATGATAGAGCACAATAGCGTCTTGCAATCCATGTAGCCGACCCCACCTAGTGGGATAAAGGCTTGTTGTTGTTGTATCAATTATCAATTTTCATCCATTTACATATAAACATTGATATATATATTATCAAGGATTAAAGGACAAAAATACACATGAATTTTTTCTCCACATACACCCAATATTCTTAACCGAAAGTGGAGTACTCATAATGTTAACAAAGTAGGCGCACAAGTGTTTAAATTATTAAATTTGACTAATTTTCATTAACATTGACTGTTAAAAAAAACATAAGGCCTAAAAATAATCATAAAAAAAATTCTCTAGGAGTTTATGGTATCCTAAAGTCATTAATATTATAAAATAGGCTAACTTTTCCCAATTCATTAACTTATATTATTAGAACTTAATGGTCAACATCAAGTTATTTTAATAGATTAGGAAATGTTAGAGCTAATAATTTGGTTCAAACTAAAAGTATCAATTTGAATAAACTTGAAAAATTTTAGTATCGAGTTTGAGAATTTAAAAGTCTATTTGGTTTAAGGAGAGGGGAGGGGGGCTCCCCCTAAATTTTTTTGGAGGGGGGGAGGTTTTGGAGGGGAGGCCCCCTCCCCTCCAACCAAACACACATTAAGAACTTTTCTTTACTTTGGGCTTATTCAAACTGGTTGAACAAGCCCAAGAAAAGAAATCTAGGTGAAGCCCAAACCCAAATGACTTAGCCCAAATTCCTGAATTGTTTTGTTATTAATAAAATTAAATTAAAATTAGATAAAAATTTAAAAAAATCATAATTTCTTAAGATTAAAATTGAAATTGACTGAAAAATAAAATAAAATAATATTTTACAATTCGAGATAACAAACTTGTGGATGTCATACACTAAAAATGTATCTGGTTTAGTAGATTAGAAAGGAGGGGAGCCAAAATTTCCTCTCCCTCCCCTTCCTCTCAATATTGCTCCTCTTCAAATTGTTTTTTTTTCAGGCAAGCTAAATTTTTTGACTAATCTACCCTTAATTTTCAAGTGATATTTCATGAATATGCAAATGCAAAATACTAAGAAAAAACTATGTGTCCACTATTATCTATGTTCAATCTTCTTCATTCATTTTTACTTTCCCCTTACTAATTATGCCAATATTACAAGTTGAGGGAGGAGGATGAATCAAAGTCACTAGGTTGAATAAAATCCCAAGATTCCAGTGAACCTCCCTCACTCGATAGAACCCCAAGATTCTCTTTTATGGACTATTTACATGAGGTCTAAGTCATAAAATAGGACCTAAGGGGAGAAAGGGAAGTAGGGCGATGAATTGGAGTTGTGGCTTAGAGGTTATGGCTACTGGATACAGTCGGTCATGTTGCCTTGTTTTGCTTCTTCATCGGGGCCTCTTGGGTTGGGTCTATAGAAACATGTTGCCTTGGTTTTGCTTTTAGCAAAGTTAGAGATGATTTAGTTTTTAACAAGCTTTATTTGCTTAAAAAATGATAAAGGATTAACTTTGATGGCTTAAAACATTCAATTTCTCTTTTTTCAAACTCCTCTAATACTTTAAAATTTTCTGATTTAAAACTTTGAAGGTTTTATCCATTTTCAAAATCTTCTAGTTTATAAAGTTTCAAATCTTCTAAAATTTTCCTTTTGATATTTTGATGTTTGTTTCCCTATTCCTTATTGTCAAAAGTTCAAAGTTTATCTTAACAATTCAAAGCTTCTGTGCTTCTGTGCCTTAATGTCACATTTTGTGAATTTTAACAGGCGAAGAGAATATTCTAAGACATTCAAGAAGAATATAGGATGTTCTAGAATGTTAGCATTTGGAACAATTTAGAAATATCTAGAAGGATCTAGAAGGCTTTAGAAGCTTGCAAAAGGATGTGAAAATATCCAGAATACTTTGGGATACTCTAGGATGTCCTAGAATGTTCTTGACAAATCGTGAGATAGTATTTAGAAAAGTCTATGTAAATATCTAGATATTTCTTGTAGATATTTGTATAGAGAATTCTAGAGATAGTGTCAACCATAAGATCAAATTAATCTCCATTGTCTATTAAGGAGGTGGAATTCTAGATTCAAGGGGAGGCCTATAAATACCTCACCCCTTTCTCATTTGTAATCATCCTTGAGTTCCTCTCATCCTTGATTTCTCAAACAATACAACTCTTACATTCTCCAAGTTCTCTCAATTACCCTTTTGTAGCAAGATTTCACTTTCCTTAACTTAGCCAAGCATCCTCTATAATGTCTAACTTGACATTACTAAAATTCACCACACAATCACAACAAACAATCATAATTAGGAGCAAGGATTTGCTCCTAATCTCACATTATATATATAAGAGTTAAAACTAATAATCTTTTAGAAATAATTGTTGAATATTTAGGATCCCATAAAAACCCTTCAAATTTATAGTTTGAGCTTAAACTCAATGATTTATAAAGGTATTGGAAGCATGGAAAAGTTTTAGGAAGCAAAACACTTCAAAACTAGGCCAAAAATGTCATTTTTAAGTGTTTTAGTCTATGCACTGCGGCTCGTGGTCTATGCACCACGGCATATGGCACAAAAAGGTAATTTTTCTCGCTGTACTGAAATGCACCGCGGTGCACGTCTCCATGACAGCAATGCTATCATGACAGCTTTTCTGGATGAACTTCAAATGTGCACCATTTTCACATCCGATATCCGATTGGAGTGATTCAAGCACCCACGCGAAGCTTATTCAATAAGCTAACTAATGGTATAAGTTTTGTTATGATTTGACATCATATGAGAATTTTAGATACTTAGATGTAAAAGTCAGTTTTTAAAGCGATTTTCAACCATCCAAGTATCCAAAACTCATAACTTATACCATTAACCCATTGTGAGACTTGAACTAAGTCCAATAGACCAAAATACATTTGAGTGAGCATTCAAACACACAAAAACATACCAAACACAAAATTTGGCTACTCAATGGCTATTTTACCTAATATGACTAAAATACCAAAATCAACACCATATACACTATTTGGCCTTTATTGCCACATAATCCACTACATATACATTGTCACCACATAGATCAAACATTCCTTGCACTTGTATTATTATTTTAGTCTATCTCTACAAAAATTGTCACATATTCACATCATATACAATATTGGGTTAAAATACAAAATAACATAGTATGAAACAAATGCAACCAATCAAAATGATATGCATTCTTAGTTGGCAACATATAATATCATCCATGTAAGTTTATGTACACCACTCAAACTAAAATCGGGCATTACTATTCA